GCACGATAAAACTCAAAAACCCTAGTAATGCTCAAAACAATCGTTTCAGGTACAATTTCATTTTGCTTCATACTTTTGTTTCGTACTCCTTTTTGCTTGCTTATTCGATTACCAACTTCCGCTTCTTGCTTTGTACAAAATTGTTCATATTCGGGGTATCTCTTTTTGTCTTCCTTCACAGTCTAGTAAAGTAGACTCTCTCGTCGCCGGTGCCCGTATTATATTCCGTGCATATTTTTTTAAATGCATTGATCATTATTGCTTTGATTCAATGTGTTTGGTGCTATTTCTTTCTTGTCTTTTAAGTTTATGTTTTCCGATTATCTCTCTCTCTCTCTCTCTCTCTCTCTCTCTCTCTATCTCCATGTATATTTATGGTGCGAATAACTTTGCATCTTCGAATACGACTTTTTGCTCTCTATTTTGGTTTCTCCGTTGTTCATATCCCTTATTTATTTGCTCTTTTCATATTTGAAGTTAAATTCGTTTATATGTAATGTTGATTGGTAGTTCTGGTTTCTTCCACCCTTTTTTTGTTTGAAGATTTTGAATATTGTTTTTGTTAGTTGAGTACATTGTAAGAATTTCTGTTTTTGTTTTTGACGATCAGAATGATCTCGCTAGGGGTTTCATCATTTAACTTTTCCATATGATTCTACATAGCATATACGAACGAAGCCATTTTGTTTTCCCTGCAGCTGAGGCAGTTTAAAAGATTATATTATTTTCGACATCTATAATCAATCTCTAAGGTTGATAGTTGATTGAATGATGGAGAAAGCAACAGGCAGTGACGAAGTAGGGGGAACCTCATCTTTGCTCCCACTGCCTCCAATAAAACCGAACAATGTGCAGCCAGAAAAAATTGATCTACCAAAGTACTCCATCGTCAGTAGACCTGGATCTGGGAGGAGTGGCAATCGTATACCTCTGCTCAGCAATCACTTCAAAGTTTCTGTCAATGCTCTGCATTCCATATTTTACCAGTATACTGTATGGTTGCTTTCTGTTTCTCTTTTTTTTTGGGAGTTATAAGTATATTTTGGATGAATTTATTGATATATAATATATAACTTTTGGAAGGTTGCTATTCATTCTGAAGATCAAAACGTTGTTGAAGGAAAGGGCATTGGAAGAAAAATAATGGACAGGCTTTACCAAACATATTCTTCTGAACTTGCTGGTAAAGAGTTTGCATATGACGGAGGAAAAAGTTTGTATACTGTGGGTCCTCTGCCACAGAACAAGTTTGAGTTCACAATATTACTAGAGGATTCATATGCGAAAGGGTATCTCTATTTACCTCTTCTGAGTTTTTAATTTGACCTGTATGATTGCCCTTGAATACTTAAAAGAAAAAATCATTGTGTTCTGCCTTGATTCTAGTGAAAGTGGAGGTTCCCATGGAAGTGGAAGCCTTGTTGGTGCCGGCAAACGGTCAAAGCATTATTTTCGTTCAAAAACTTTCAAGGTGGAGATAAGATATGCTGCCAAAATACCTTTGGAGGCAATAGGTCATGCCCTTAAAGGACAAGAGTCAGATAATAGAACTCAAGACGCGTTGAGAGTGCTTGATATCGTATTAAAACAGAAAGCAGCTAACAGGTTCTTAAATGCTTTTATTACTATTCTATCAAAAATAGATTTGTTGCTATATTTTTTCAATAAATTTAGATTTGATTAATGAGGCTTGTATGTGGTTGGCTACTTTAAACACTGGGTGTGGAATGTATAGTGGGTGTCTATTGGTTAGGCAGTCATTCTTTCATGATGATCCAAAGAATTTCATTGATCTTGGGGGAGGTGTGGTTGGTCTTCGAGGGTTCCATTCGAGCTTCTGTACCACTCAAGCAGGCTTATCTCTTAATACTGGTAGTGCTAATTCCCATTGCTGTTCTTTTAGATTCCTTTATCTTACAGTTGCTCACTTGTGTTCTTATTTTCAACCTTTTGGTGTAGATGTTTCTACAACAATGATTTTAAAACCTGGGCCTGTTATTGATTTCCTTCTATTTAATCAGAATGTAAATGATACTCGCCATATTGACTGGATTAAAGGTAATCAGAAGGGTTAAACCGAATACTGTCACTGGCATTCAGCTTTGGTTTTGGAATGAACCATTTTAGTTTATTGCCAATATACAAGCCAAAAAAATGCTTAAAATTTGAGGATTAGAACAGACTCGTAACATGG